GCAGGTCTTCATGACCCGCGAGAACTTCCATAGGGCTCATCTATTACAGATGTAGACCAATAATTGGAAGGAAGTCCTGCTGTTGCAACATAAGAATCACCAACATTTTCAGGCCATTGCTAAAGAGTGTATCTCTATAGTGATGATAACGGGCGTCTTCACGACCCCGGGGGGCTACGTTATCTTCTTTAGATTCTGCTTGTTTTTTCCTGTTTTTATTTCCGCAGAATAAAAGAATAAAAGCATGATGTCCCGATTCATCGGATCGTCATGAGGGGGAGAGTGGTCCACATGCTGTTAACACTGAACAAAGCATTCTGCGACACTTCACTCCTCCATCACAAAAATCAACACCTTCTCTGCTATCTCTACAACTCAAATCAAATGGTCAGCTACACTCACAAATCAACAATCATTATGTTCCGTTGTGCCACCGACAAGTTCTCCTCAAATGCATTCATTCCAAATAATCAAAAAGACTACATTGTGGAGGAGACAGAGGTCAAATACTCGTGTCCTGAAGATGAAATCCATGGGCGTCTCCTATTCTCCAAAGAATATTCATTCTAGAGGCGTCACCGGACTTCATCCAAGCTGATCAAGAGCAACTTCTGGAAGGCAAGGACTACATGCAAGATACTGAAGGTCCCTCAACCCCCGGCATCAAAGATCAAATTGTCAAGAAGACATCAAAGGGGAGATTGCAAGGATTTCTTCAGCTAGCCTTCCTCAGAAGTCAAGTTCAAAGACAAAGGAAGCTCAATAACAACAATGACAAAGATATCTGCGCTGCAATGCTGATTCAACACGATTGATCACCAAGGGGGAGATTGTTGGGAATATTTTATGGTGTTCAATCTAGTTATTTATCTTTGTATTTGTGTAGTTATTAATTAAACGTGTAATACGGGCCACAAATGTGTATCAGCCCGTGGGCTTCCTTGTAAACCGTAAGTTAGCCAACTTCTCCTATAAAAGGAGGCTAACTTACGGGAACCCTAACTGATCGAAAGAGGCTGAGAGCGCAAGAGGCGAGATATAGAGAAATTAGGGTTGCCGCTGCTCTCCTTCTCCAGGGAGAGCAGCGGACAGTTCATACGGTATACCAGATTCGCGTTTAATCTTGTCGATATCTTTCTATCTGTTTCTTTATCATTGCTATGGTTGTATGATTGTTAGTATTCTGGGTTTAACATACCATCTCCTCTCCGTCAAACAGCAACACGATGAAACACTCCGGTCTTTCATCGAGCGATGGACGAAGGAGACCGAAGAGGTCGAGGGTGCCGATGATCGCATCCTCCTCGTCCTCTTCCAAGGCGTCCTCTGCATGTATTGGCCGATGTCATAAAAGACCTTCATCTCTCTTTCCCAGAACTCCATGCCGGTGGGGCTGTGCTGGGTCCAATCCTCGAACCTGGCCACCATGACCTCAAAACACCCTGGCCGACTCTCATCAGCTTTCCAGCCATCGTCGAGGAACTTCTAGATCGCGGCCTCAGCGGCCCTCTCCCCAACAGCTTTAGCGGCTTGCTCCGCCTCGGCCTTAGCCTTCTCGACCCCCTCAGCACGACGAAGAGCTTCTCCATAAGCTTTCTCCACGCCCGCCAGCTTTCGGGCAGCCTCGTCCCTCTCGGCGGCAAATTGGCGAGTGGCAGCATCGGCTTCATCGGCCTTCTTCTTCACACCTGCTACATCCAGCCGCAGCTGATCCAGGCTGTTTAGGGCCTCTTTGGTGGAAGCAGCCTTTTGCTCGACTTGCCTCAGCTGAGCGATCTCCTCCTGCTACCTTTTATGGCTCTCCATCAGCATGAAGGTTGCCTAAACAAAACACGATGGTTAGGACGACGGTGACACCATCAAAAACAAGAATAAAATGACAAAGTATGGAAGGATGAACTTACAGACACGAGGTTGTCCATCCCTCCATAGATCTTGACATCCCCCAGCTTGCTGAGGTAGGCCCGGTCTTCGTCCGGGATCGCCTGAGAAACCACCTCGTGGCCGGAGACGATTTCATTGAAGACATCCCCCATCGGCGGGTAGCGAACAACGATGTCATACAGGCCCCTGACCAGCTCTCGGTCGGACCCCTTCTGGGAACCCTGGGCATTAGGGGGAGGCTGGGAGACCCCAACAGATGAAGGCCCCGAGGTGAGATCTACCACCACATCAGCATTGGAGCCCCCGTCGTCCCCATCTGGTTTGGTCAATGCTTCGGCATCAGTACCGGAAGAAGGAGAAGCCCTATTGGACTTCTTGGAAGGCTGCAAGTCAACCTCGATCAGCTTCTTCTGTCCCTCATCAGCCGGCCTCTTCTTCTTCGGCTGAGTAGGAGACTTCTTAGCCGGGTCAGATTTTGGCTGCTCTCCGCCAGCCGATGTTTGCTTATTGGCCTGTTTGGCCGCCAGTTCTTCGGCCGCCTTCCTGGAGGCCTTCTTCATAAACGATGTGCGGTCCATGACAAAGTCTACACAACATGAAAAAGACAGGTTAGTGAACAAGAAAATAAAGCAAGTGATGCCAAGGACGCTAAGAGGATATTACCATCGGCCTCAGTAGGAACCCCCAAGAAAGGGCCATCGGCCTCCTCAAATGACGTAGTCATCTTCAGCCACAGATCATCATCTACGTCTCCAAAAACAAAGTACCTAACAAAGCCGATAGCGGCCATCTTGTACTCCGTGATGTAATCCTTCACGCTCCTCGACTCGTCCTTCAGGAACTCCTCCACCTAAGCATCAAGGTAAGCACTCTTCAGCGTCTCGTGGAGATTGAAGGAACGAGAGTGGCGTACCGAAGGGAAATCACCTCCCTCTTCCAAGCTCACAAAAACGAACTTGGATTTCCAACCATGGATGGACGAGGGGAGATCAGTGAAGGACCTCTTGTTCTTCACCTGCTGAAGGTTGGTGTAGCCGGCACAGTTCTTGTGGCTGCCTCGGCCTATCTGGTACAAGTTCTTAAATAGGGCCGTCGTCGGCACAATGCCCAACTCTGAGCACCTTAGCAGAAACCCAACGATGAGCGAATAGCTATTCGGGGTCAGTAGGGCCAGCCGAAGACCTACCATATCCAGGTACTCTGTGATGAAGGGATGGAGGGGAAATCTGAGGCCTTTGGCGAAACTCATAGGGTACACTCCGAAGTACCCTACTGGCGGGTTTAACACATGATCCATCGGATGGGGCGCCCTCACCCTACCGTATGGCCCTACATACATCTGGGCGACGTAGTACTCACCAGCGTTACTCTCTGGCTTTATGATGTACATGTTGGTGAGATCAAAGAAAGAAATGCTTGGACCCTTCTTCGACCGCTGCTTCCTCTTCGGTCGAACGTCTGATACAGGAGCTTTCCCTTTGACAGCAGAGAGGGGATTAAGGCACGGAATGGTGGCCGATGTGGAAGCCTCATATCCTACGCGTGAAGCCCCAACATCTTCACCTGACGATGACGATACAACATCCTAATCTGCACTCTCCTCGTCGTCGTGTTGGTCCCCTGGCCCGAAGGGGCTCATAACGTTTATCTCCTTGTTGCACTCATCCACAATCCTAAGATCCAGGTACTTGGTAGATGCCCCTTCGTCATCATAAGGGTAGTACTCTTCGTCCAAGCACTTGGCCATAACAACTATTCGCTTCCTAAAGGGGAGTAATTTGGATCTAAGGAGAGGTTCCCTAATAACACTAGATCAAATGCTAAGGATGCAAAATATGAAAGAAAAGGCAAGAACAGGTGAAGAACTAACCTTGAAGATTTGAACGGGGTGAAGAACACTGAGGGAGTACTTTCTCTCTCTAGAAAATTGGGCAGCACTTCGTTATCACAGATTGCAAATGAGGACTTTGCTTCAGATGGGAGGGGTATTTATAGACCCGCTCCAACAGTCATTACACGTGGCACACTCCCTATGGTCACCCCAACAGTCACCTCCATTCCAGCCAATAGGGAGCCACCCATTGAAATTCTTCACAAGGCCAGCCTGCATAAAGTCACCACCTCAGCATGAAAGCAACAAGGCGCCCCTGTATCAGCCGAGTTAGCCACCAACAACATGGCCTCTTCAATGGCCAAAAAACAAGTAAGGTTGAACCTAACAACCATCGACCGATGTACAAACCATTGATGATAACCTCTAGTCTGCGACCTGTGTCCAAGGGTTCTCTCATAGGGTTACCTTGGTCAGGAATCGCCAAGGGGTTGGATTCATGGGGAATGCAAGGGGTCCGCTTCGGCCTGGGGTTTGCCTTACTCCTTCACTCCTCACTTACTCTTCGGCCTTAAGGAGTGGGGGACGGGGGGATGGTATCGGCCTCCACATGCTGCAAAAGATTCCAGAGTAAGCAAAAGTTCAAAATATTCCAAGGACCACAGGCCAAAGATAGTGGTATCACAGCGCCCTCAACCATGTGAGCCACCCTCATCGAAAATGACAAGGATACCATGTAAAATCGTACCAACATCTCAACATCCACAAGCATATGACCCATCTTCAGCTAAAGTCAAAAGCACAAAGGCTGGACATTCATAATAATGTAATATTTAGGGATTACTTTGTAATTCTTGAGAACTCTGTTTTATTATAAATATAAGGCTAAGGCACCCAATAGGGTAAGCCATCATTCCCAAAATTATTATTTCGTATATGGTATCAGAGACCTAGGTTTTATTTTTCTTTCACGCTACACCAAGGACCGGCGCTTCTAGAACCGTCGTCATGAATTCCCAGGCGCCCTCTTCTCCGCAGGTGCAGCCGCAGACCACCGCAATCATGAATTCCCAGGCGCCCATTCCATCGGAGCTGCCTTCATCCAACATCGTCACCAACATCCTCGGCACAAACTCTTCGTTCGAGGTCGGTTCCAGCAGCGTAGTCTCATCCCCTGCCTCATCAATGACTTTTTCAGCACCTATGTAGTACATCTAGTAATGTTACATCTGGTTTTGGTTTTACTAATCACTTTCCTACTTGTGATACTTATGATGTTAGTGCAGGTTTTCTGTCTGTTGAGAATTCCTATCCCTCTACTGCTCTCGTTTCACTTCGCAGCATACTCCTGCTCTTGCGGCTCTTCCCACTGGTGAGACGCATAATTCAGTCTGGTATCCTGATTCTGGACCTTCCGCGTACATGACTCCACATGAAGGTATTTTATCTTCTAAATTTACTTATACTGGCCCGAATCAAGTATGTGTTGCTAATGGTACTAAATTACCTATTTCTAATATTGGTCACGTTAAATTAATCACATCTGGTCGCCCGCTACATCTCAATTATGTTTATCATGTCCCACACATTAAATACAATTTACTATCTATACAAAAGTTGTGTGCGGATAATGCCTGTAAAGTTATTTTTGATAAAAATTCTTTTTCTGTTAAGGACAATCAAACGGGGGAGCTTCTTCTTCAGGCCACTAATAAAAATCATGTCTACCCTTTTACTGCCCTTCAAGCCCGAGTTGTACCTGGTCCAGTCTGGCACAAGCGTTTAGGACATTGTGGTGATAGGATTATTTGTACTCTTAGGCAAAATAAGTTAATTAGTACTTCTTCATCTTTTACTCATGATTGTGTTTCCTGTAAGTTGGGCAAATCCCACAAACTTCCGTTTTCTGATGTTATTCATGATACCTCAGCAGCTTTAGAAATTATTCATTCTGATGTTTGGCAATCACAAGTTGCTTCTAATTTGGGTTTTAAATATTATGTGTCATTTATTGATGATTTCTCTAGATATACCTGGATTTACCCCATGCGTAGGAAATCTGAAGTTTTTACACATTTTATTAATTTTCAAAAACTAGTTGAAAATCTTTTGAATACTAAAATCAAAATCTTTCAAAGTGATGGTGGGGTGAATTTGATAACACTTTTTCTTACACGCATTTTTTAAATGCAGACATTTTATTTAGAAAATCTTGCCCTCATACTCCTGCTCAAAATGGGATGGTTGAACGAAAACATAAACATTTACTTGAATTAACTAGGGCATTATTGATTGATGCTTCTATTCCTAGTCATTTTTGGGTAGATGCTCTTTACATAACCACATTTATTGTTAATCGTTTACCTACCCCAGTTTTGCATGGAGTTTCTCCATATCAAAAACTTTTTAATAAATTGCCTGATTATAATTTTATGTGTGTCTTTGGTTGCTCATGTTTTCCTAATTTTATTGCGGCCTCTCACAATAAACTATCACCACGTTCTACGCATTGTGTCTTTCTTGGCTATGCTCCGGGTTATAAAGAGTATCGTTGCTTACTTGCTTATCTCCTTCCACAGGCCGGGTTTATGTCAGTCTAGATGTGATTTTTCATGAAAATAATTTTCCATATAATTTCTTCCCCGACATCTTCTTTAATACCTTCCTCTTGGCTTTCCTCCACTTTCTCTGATGGCTTTCGTTCCCCATCCAACCCACAAAGTCTGTCAACTCCACAAATTACCTTCCCAGACACCAACTGCAGCCCAAACCAGTCCTTACCCTCGGCCTGCACTACCCCACAACACTCCTCCACGTGCGGAACACCTACTGCCAACCTTTCCAGCAGCTTACCATCATCTCCTAGCAGTTCGGCCACACCTACAATCCATCAGTTCCTTCCAACTCCCCCAAACAACTCCAACAACTTACCCATAGGAGCTCCCATAATCTCCCCATCTAGTCCCAGTGACCACATCCCTTCCCAGTCCTCGGTCTCAACACACTCCACCCCACCTGCCCCAATGAATGTTCATCCGATGCGTACACGCGCAAAGGATGACATTTTCAAACCCAAAAATATTTTTACCTTGGTTTCTTATCTCCCCCGGATGATCCTACTTGTTTTACACAGACAAATAAAAGTTTTATTTGGCGGGCTGCAATGGCGGATGAATTTAATGCTTTGATTAATAATAAGACTTGGGATTTGGTACTTGGGATTTGATATAATTCATCGTCCTCAAAATCATGGACACACAACGTCTAATGGGTAAGGACCTCCATCGATCACATTACAAATCAAACAAAACTACCAAACCACGGATGGTTCCGCTTCGGCCTGGAGCACCAAAAACAATTACAGTGCCTCCTCAGCTGCACAAGGTAACCAAAAACTGCGAAGGGAAACAAATCAGCGCCAATGCTATGACAACGTCTTCAACCCACACATTCCACCTTCGGCCAAGATAGGAGAACAACATCACAGCGGCCGAAGCACGTGTGATGTCCTTAGGGGTCACACCCATCGTCTTCTCAAACAAAGACACTCATCGGCCCCTAGCATGAGGACACTCATCATCCTCAAAACATAAGGACACACATCGGCCACGATATGAGAACAGAAGCTCCACGACAGCTGAGTGAGCGATACGTCTATAACTTCAACAAAGAATAACCAACTTGGCCACACAACGGCCAAGCACAAGGAATAACCATAACGGTTCCCCATCGGCCAAAAAAACATCAACACAAGAATCTACTCCCTTTCACTTCGTCTGCATCTCAGCTCAGAGAGTGGAGGACTCCTGATGGAGTATATGAGTCCAGACCACATGACCCACATACTTAGAAGAATAAGAGGAAGTACATCTGTCATCAAGTGGGTCCTCCGTCGGTCAGATTACCTCCATCGGTCGAACAAACATCAACTCAGAATATGGTCTAGAATCCAAGAGAACCAGGGTTCTCCATCGGCAGGGTCTTTGTCGGCCATGGCTCCGTCGGCCACAGGGACTTCGAATAGCCAGATTTCATACTTAGTCAAATTACATACTCTCTATTCGGCCCAGTAGTGGGCTCATTGTAAATGGGCCTCCCAAGCCCAAGACTTGGGAGCCCAGTCCATATTTTCTCTATAAATACCCCTATTGGGGGTAGTTACAAGGGGTTGACAAATATGCTTATTGCACATTCATTGCACTTCTCTCTCTACCTCTCACTTCTCTCTAAGAGTTAATACTCTATCAGTAACGGACTAACGGTTAAGTCCCGGACCGGTCCCATAACATGCCGCTTAAATCCCCGGTTCAGGCTCTGGTCCGAGTACCGGTCCCAGCTTACTGAGTCGGGTCAAGCCTGCACAGTACCAGGCCGGCCCATCCCAGTCCACCCCTAGTGTAGAGGGTCTGATTAGCATCTATACTATCACATACATTGATCTTGTCTAAAGAGCTTCTCGTATAGAATGTGGAGTCCTGCTTCGTGTACACGCCGAATTACATGCCGGTCAAATTGTCTGTGTACAGACAATTTGATCGGCTACACAAAAAATTTGACCGGCGTTTTATGAAAAAAAATCGATTTCCACACAGGCAAAAATAAAGAGTTGTCTATATCACAGACATTTTAGACGATAATTTTTCATAATGTACTATGATATAGACAATTTTAAATGAGAATTTTAAAATGTCTGTGATACAGACAATTTTTTTATTTTTATCTGTGTGAAAATCGATTTTCTTTATAAAACGCCGATCATATTGTCTGTGTAGCTGGTCAAATGTTCTACATAGACAATTTGACCGGCGTGTAAAAACTGACGCCTACAAAGGGAATTTTACAACCTGCAGTTTTGGGATTGACTCACCCCATCAGGAAAATCTTTTCGCTATTCCACAATCCACGGTACCTATCTCAACCTGCAGCCCCTGCACAGCTCCACCCCATTTAACTGCGAGAAAAAACAATTACTATTGTTTTTGGATATTTTTCTTAAAGGGTATGTACATCTTTTAATAACTCAACAACTTCATAAATTTTACTAGATGTTAGTCATTTCCTATTTAAAAAAAAGTAAAATTCATAAGAATAATCCATACTTTTAAGGATTCTATAATAATAATCCCTACTGAATCTGTCTATAAAAATAATCTTAACTAGTAATAGTGTCTACAATAATAAATTGAGGTGAATTCAAAATGATGTCCTTTTAATACTATCGCTTTTCTCTTCATCGCTCTTCTTATCGAAGTGAATTAAGACTTAAACCTGTTTAATTTTAATCTCATTTCCGCCATATGTGGTTGTTTCTAGGATAGAAGATAGAAGTGTTACCCGAAAAGAAGAATGGTGAAGGGGAAAGTAAAGTTAAGATTTGGGAGAATTAAATGGGAAGTAATTTTAATTTACCTCAATTTATTCTTGTGACCACTATTGCTAGTTCGGATTATTTTTATGAATACTCTTAATATGGATTATTATTGTAGAATCCTTAAAAGTAGAGATTTTTTTTGTGAATCTCGCCAAAAAAAATACTCCATCAGATTCGCTTCTCTATATTTCGGGGGAAAAAAATCCATAAAAAAGCTTGGACAGACACTTGGGCTATGTTGCCATTTCAATCTAACCATGTAAATCTGTCTGTGTAGATGAAGAGTTGAAGTTGACTAAAATAAAACATTACAGCGTTTGGGCCCAGCCCTTTAATCTTAATCTTACGTCAATCCCACCCATTATTCAAAACTTAACTTGTTTCTATTAAAAGTTAGCCGAAATTTATAAGAATAATCCATACTTTTAGGGATTCTACAATAATAATCTATTCTTAGAGTGTCTACAAAAATAATCTGAATTAGCAATAGTGTCCACAAGAATAGATTGAGGTGAATTCAAATTAATGCCCGTTAAATACAATCAATCTCTACTCTCACTTTTCTCTTCACCACTCTTCTTATCGAAATGAATTAAAACTAAAACCCGTTTAATCTTAATGTCATTTCCGCCATATGTGGTTCTTTCTAGGATAGAAAATAGAAGTGTTACCCAAAAAGAAGATGGATGAAGGGGAAAGTAGATGTAAGATTTGAGAGAATTAAATGAGAAATAATTTTAATTTACCTTAATTTATTCTCGTGGACGCTATTGCTAGTTCGGATTATTTTTATGAATACTCTCAGTAGAGACTATTATTGTAGAATCCCTAAAAGTATAGATTATTTTTGTGAGTTTCGTCTAAAAGTTATGCTATAATAATTGTGCACTTCCGATCCCCGTCTTTATTTTAAGATGTGTAGCGTTTAATTTATTCAATTGTGGTTCATGTTTCCGCAATTGGTATCAAGCTCCAAACAACAGTCCATAATTGAGCTTTCAATTATACTTTGTTCAAACATAAAACCATAACCATGTATTCGAGCCTTCAAGGAAAGGGCAGGCGGAGATAAAAGAAGGCCGCCGGCCAAAGAAGATTCTAGAAAAACATTACAGTCCTATCTCAGGGTGGTATAGCGGTGCCTAGGGATGGATTAGTCTCGTTCCAAAGTACTTGTCTTAGTTATGCTGGTGTGAGAAAATTAAACGAAATAAGATTTGAACCTGATCGCCAACACTAAGCATTGGATTGGTTGCCTACAAGGACAACTTGAAATAGTTAATATCCAATATGATCTATATTTTTATTGATTACTTACTATTATTAAATTGCTCTTACTATACACCGTGAGCATCATCATCATCATCATCATTATTACTAATTAATTCCTTGAAAGTGTAATTGTGAAAAAGGTTGAAGATTGGGTCTTTTTTTATAAAAGTTAAAGAATATGATAGATTTTATAGTTCGAGGATATATTAAGCTAATAATAACCCTTATCATCATCATCATCATTACTATTACTATTATTATATTATCATTATTATTATATTTATTGTTATTATTATCATCATTTTTGTTGATATAGTCCTTTATATTAGTGTTATTATCA